GGCCTGGCTGGTGGAACAGGCTGGCGTCGCCTCGTCTGAGTCCCCACTCCGTGCTGTGTTCCACGATGCTCTGAGCAGGCTGCAGGGACAGCCAGTGCCAACCGCACTTCAGGTGGCGGCCTCACTCTGCATTCTGTCCCGAGTCCCTGAACAACACCAATGGGATCTAAAGAAAAGGAAGATAGAGAGTGGTTTAGAGCTCCATCTGCATAAATACAAAACTGCTGAGCTCCCAGCTGCAGTTCCAGGTCCCTGGCACGCACTACCTTACCATCACTGGGAGAAATGGCAACACACCCAGATCCGAGCTCCCCCACACTTGGGCCTTGCATGGCTATCTCTGGTGAGACCCTGAGCCCCAGGAGCTGAAGCAGACAAGCACTGGGGCTCCAGCACCGCCTTCTCCAGCCCAAGCTGACATCACACAGAAGTTCCTAACAGATAGCTTCCAGTTTATGTGTTCCACATTAGAAGTTCTAAGAATAGAAAAACAAGTTTTCAGGGCTGGTGAGATGGCTCAGTGGTCTAAAGCACCTACTTAGAACAAGCTTAGCAAAGCACAGGGACCGCGGTTCAATCCCCCAGCACCACATGCCAGCCAGCCCTGCCCCCTGGTGGGCTGAGCTGGCCGCGCGCGCGCACACACACACGCTCACATAAATAAATTAATAAAAAAATGAAAAATAAGTTTTCATAATACAATGGTTTCCTTTCAAGCAATTCAGTCAGAGCAATGGAACTGGCTCACCATGGATCTGGCTACAATACTGAGTCCCACAGGAACTTTATTTTGGATTTTGGCAGTAGCAGGGATTGAATCCAGGATGTCATGCAAGGGTTATATTGCTGGGCTGTTTCTTTCGTTTTTAGACAGAGTCTTACTAAGTTTCCCAGGCTGACTTTAAACTTATGATCCTCCCCACTTAGCCTGCCAGCAAGCCAGGACCGCAGATCCACTTAACAAATACACAAGTTATCAGTGTCTGAGGTCATTACAGAGCAAGTCACACAGCTCAGAGGACTCCACACCCAGCCTTCAATTACCAGGCCTGCTATCTATCTACTTTTTGTTTTAAAGCACGTCTCTCTTGTGTAGTTCATGTTTGCTTTGAAATTAATGGCCCGGGGAGATGGCTCAGTAGAATAAGCACTTGCCTGGCAAGTGCAAGTGCCTGAGTTCAATCCCCGGTTCCACAAAAAGAAAAGAAAGAAATTACTGTGTAGCCCAAGCCAGCCTCAAATTCACAGCAATCCTCCTGCTGCAGCCTCCCAAGTGCTAGGATTGTAGGCATGTGCCATCAGGCCTGGCTTACACGATAACTTTATAAAAGGGCCGGGGCTGGTGAGATGGCTCAGTGGTCTAAAGCACCTTCTTAGAACAAGCTTAGCAAAGCACAGGGACCACGGTTCAATCTCCCAGCGCCACATGCCAGCCAGCCCCACCCCCTGGTGGGCTGAGCTGGCCACACACACAATAAATTAATTTTATAAATAAATAAAAGGGCCACTACTGTCCACTAACTCTCCGTGCCTGGTTGAACTGTGCAGCCTCAGGACAAGGAACACAACTGGAGCAAGAAGGAAGGCTCCTGGAGAAGCAGTGTACAAGGACCACAGACTGCAAAGTGGCCCATGAGTGTAATCACAGTCCAAGGCTAGCCTCAGTCCATTAGCAAGGCCTCTCAAAATTAAGGGGGCAGTGAAATAGAGGAACTGTCCTGGGAAACAGAATACAATGGTATGTGGGGGCCTGGCCCTAGCTCAGTCCTTTAAGCGGCTGCTTCCACAAAGCTGTCAGCCTCAGGTTGCTGGAGTTCGAACCTCACAACTCTCCCGCTGGCCAAAAGTGCCCTGAAGGCATTCGAGGAACAAAAAAAAAAGAATACAAATGTATGCATGTGTAATCCCAGCACTGGGGAAGCTGAGGCAGGAGGATTACTAAATTCTCAACTAGTCTGAACTACCACAAAGTAAATGCCTCAAAAAAAAAAAAAAAAGAAAAGAAAAGAAAAAAAGGGCTGAGCATGGTGGCACACACCTGTAACCCTAGCACTCAGGAGGATTGCTACAAGTTTGAGACAAGCCTGGGCTACAAAGCTAGCTGAAGGCCAGCCTGAACTGCACCGGGAGACCTCTGTCTCAAAAAGTCAAGAAAGAAAGAAAGAAAGAAAGAAAGAAAGAAAGAAAGAAAGAAAGAAAGAAAGAAAGAAAGAAAGAAAGAAAGAAAGAAGAAAGAGAAGCAACGAGACAGACAAGACAGACAAATGGTATTACTCAGCTGGTTAACATGCATTAACAATTATTAGTGCAGAGGAGTATAATAAAGGAGCAAAGACACACAAATGAACATTTAAACTATGGCAGTCTTAAAAAATGCATTATCTTGGTGGCTGGGGATACAGTTCAGTGGCACAAGCACCTGCCTGGCAAGTGCAACGTCCTGAGTTCAATCCCTGGTACTGCCAACAAAATAAAATAAAATAAGAGAAAAAATGCATTATCTGGATTGTCCTCTACTCCTACAAATGTCATACAGTAGATTCTACAATTTACAATTCTCACGTATGTCCTACAGTGCTGCCAGAATTTGTTGTAATAGTTAAGAGTCTAAATGGAAATGCAGACTAGAGTCTGACAAAAAGATCTTTAATTTGTTTTTTTAAATTCCATTTTTTTATTTTATATAACTTTTATTCATTTTAATGAGAAAAAATAGCAATTCAAGTTTCAAAACAAGTTAGTAGGAAGTTTACAATAATTAATACATTGCATATTGTTGTCTTCATAGTAGTTATTCAGAGGACAAGATGCAGACATGACATCTTGTCTACACATACTAGTACAAACTTTTATTCTCAAGGATCCCTAATTTGAAGAGACAAATTATCTATCAAGTCAGGAAGCTGGTCCAGTGGCTAATGAAGGCACAAGGTCTAAAGGTTGGCAGTGCCAGAGTCTGGGGGCGATGGGAGGCCACTCCAAATGAGGAAAATGTCTTTCAGCGTTCTCCTCCCTGCAGTGCCAATAACTGAGGCACAGGCAGACCAACAGGATACAGGAGCAGAAAAGGGTGGAAGAGCTAGGAAGACAGGGAGGCTGGTGCCAGGGGCCAGGAGAATGACCTGACAGCCTGAGTCAGGGGAGAACAGCCCAGCAGCACCAGCTACCTACCACTACGACCTGCAGAACACAGAAGTCAAGACTTTCATAGCATAAAAACCCTGGGTATATCTGGTTACAGAATACAAAACAAAACAATATTGCAAAAGAATAACCCAAAAAGGGCCAGCCAAATAGCTCAGTGGATTAAAGCGCCTACAAGCAGGCACAAGGGCCTAGGATTCAATCCCCAGGCCTGCCATGCTGGCCCCGTCCCCGGGGCACATTGAGACAGCAATTGAAACTGGGTGTTGTGATGTGTGACTATAATCACAGCTCTTGGGAGGCTGTAAACAGGCGGATCACTAAAAGTCCAATCTAGTAGTGAGACCCTGAACACCATGTAGACCCCTCCCTAAAATAAAAAATAAATAAATAAAAAATAGTCCAAAAATCTTAGCTGCAGGGTACACAGATAACACATCCATGTGTAGTCTCAGCACAAGGTCACCCACCCAGAGTGTACCTGGCATGTGGCTGGCACACCACAGCATCCTGCAAGTGCTGGCATACCCTCAACACTCTGCAGCCACACTGCTATTTCCAGAACAAAAAAACCTAACTGAGGAAGGGTCTGCACACTGTCTGCGACAGGAATGACATCCACATTCCAGTACCAGCTATGACCCAGCTGTTGCTTATCATGTACGCCAATAGGGGGCTGGAACCCAGAAACCCCTCTTCTTAGTATACACCGAAAGGAGGGCACCACTGCTGCAGAAAGACATGGACTCACATTCACTGTAGCATTCTTCTTCACATCTCACACTCCAAGAGGACATGCCCTTACCACTCCAGGATGTCTGCTCATTGTGTCAACTTGAGAAGTTTAGAAGTTTAATTAAGCAACTCACCCCTCCACTTTTTTTTTTTTTAAGCAGAGGACTGAGACAGAGTCCAAGGCCTCACACTACCACTGACACTCCCAGCTTTTTGAGACAGGGTCTTACTAAATTGCCAAGGATGGCCTTAAACTTGTAATCCTGCCTCAATCTCCCAAGTACCTGCAGTTGTAGGTGTGACACCATGAGCAGCTTCTAGTTTCATTCTTTTTTTCTTTGCTTTTGTAGAGACAGAGTCTTACTATATATTTTAAGCTGGTCTCAAACTTGTGGCGAGACTATCCCAGCTCCTCAAGTGCTGGGATTACAGGCATGAACCTCCATGCCTGGCTCTAGTTTCCTTCTGATCTGAGGACCTCACCCACTCCTCCAGGAACCAGATATCGTAAGGGGATCCCTAAAAGTCAGGAGAAATGGCAGAGAAGTAAGCAGTTGACAACAGTGGCCAGTGAGTAATACCAATGCATACCCCAAAGGGGTATGCAAAAACACTTAGGAGCTGTACCCTTGGGAAGTATGAAAGTGTTTCCCACCTCAGAACCGAGTAGGCTCCCCGGCACTCATGTGTCCTCCCATTCTCACCAACACACCTAAGGGCTCTGAATTACACACCAATGATCTATATGCTACCCATACCTATCCCTAACACATATTCTCCCACATTCACCCAGCCTTGTTCGCACCAGTCTGAGTCTCCCACCTGCAGTCCCAGCTTCCCTAGTCCACATCTGCACTGTGCCTCCTATTTTGGAGTACTTTAGACACCCGCTCCAACACACCACCTCCAAGAAGCTGCTCTCTGGAAAAACTTTGGAATCACTGCATACACTAACATTGCACTTATCCTAACTCTACTGTTACATGCATGCATTCTTCACTGTGACTCCTGAAACAATGTTTCCATGAACAGGCTGAGCTCTGTAATCCTGACCCAGGCCTCACCAGCACTGAACTCTGTTGGGCAACACCTCAATATATAGACACCCTGCTTTCTGAAAACAACACAAGGTAAGAAAGATCCCAGCACAGTGTGCTGTGGTGCTGACTCCTGTGGCAGCCCAGTAAGTCTTGTATTCCGGAGAGGTTGGCACAAGAGGAGTGTGGGAAAGCTCCAGGGTTCAGAAGGGACAGATGGACCCTCCAAACACGGGGAAAACGTCTTTCAATATTTCTCTCCCTGCACTATCAATGACCGGGGCACAGCCAGCCCATGATCACTTTCGAATACAGGGTAGAAAGGGGCAAGGAGGGCCAAGATGGACGGGAGCCTGGTGCCAGATGCCTGGTCCAAATGGACCAGAGCTCAGGATCCTGCAACTGCCACATTGAGAGTCAAACAAGACACTTCTGACAATAAGAAAAAAATAGGAACACATGGTCATGTCTACAAATTCATGTCACAGTTTTGCTTTCCCCATCAGGAAACTGGTCCACAACTGGGGTCTGAAACCTGGCTTTCAGCAGCTAACTGGTCATAGCAGCTCCCTAGGCCCAGACTCTGCAAATAACATGGCTTGGGCTGAACACCTGCCTTCCTCCTGAGTCTAGACTTGTATACATGCAAGGCAAAAGGCAGCTGCACCACCAGCCCTCAGTAAAGGCCGTGGTACCAAGTCTCTAACTGGATCTCTGGGCACACCTCATGGATGTGTTTCCATATGAGTTCCACATAACTGTGAGGGAGGAAGAGCTTGGGAAGTCTGTATCCATTTCTCTAGGCTAGACCTTCAGTCTTTCTTCCCTTATCCAGCCGCATGTCCTGACTACTGGACACAAGTACAGCAGTGACAATCAGAGCCGGATGGTGGCAGAGGAAGGATTAAGAGAAAGGTATGTATGGGTGTCTTTCATGCCACTTTCTTTTTTTTTTTTTTAGGGATTGAACTCAGGCCCTTGCGCTTGCCAGACAAGCACCTATTCTACTGAGCCATCTCCCCAGCCCTGATGCCACTTCCTGTTACAGCTTGCTGCCGCTACAACACAGGAAAATACCCGAACACTGTACCAGCATGTGTCTGAAGAGAGATGTTGTGTCCTTCGAGTGCCCCTAAGACACGTGGTACCTGCTGTAGTGGCGCACACCTGTAATTCCAGCACCCAGGAGGCTGAGGAAGGACAGCTTTGAGTTCAAGGCCAGCTTGGACTATATAATGAGACCTTGTCTTAAAAATTGAAACAAACCATGTGGGCAGCCAGGCTGTAGAGTTCCTTGTAACACCCCATCTGCTGGGGAATGGGGGAGGCAGCACTACTAACTCCAAGGAGCCAGAACATCTTGAGGACACTGTATTCTGCCAACCCAAACAGAGATGGGCCTTACAAGGAAGCTCACAAGGGAATAAGCAGATAAAAGTAATTCAGTAACCTGAAACAAATCTCAGCAGAGGTGTTCAGCAGAACACTGCTTCTGTTATTCCTCAATAAATCTACATGTTTGAGTCAGCTCAGGGCTCTATTTTAGAGAAGTCCTCTGACCCTCTGTAAAGATCTTCTCCGTCTCTCAAATCTTCATTCAATTTAGGTGTCCCAGAAAAGGGAGATCTGGGGATCCATGTATCATCCTTCATCCCGTCCTCATCACCCCCTACATTACTAACCAGAGAAAAAGAACCTGACCTCCCAGGGTACAAAAGGCCGTACCTGGGGCTGGGGAGGTAGCTCAGTAGAGTAAGTGCTTGCCTGGCAAGTGCAAAGGCCTGAGTTCAATCCCCAGTTCCACCAGAAAAAAAAGCCAAACCTGAGAATGGACCAGAGACCTGACCTGAGAGCTCCCAGTCTGACATTCTCTTGTGTGACACTAAACCAAGTCCCTCCTCTGTAAACAATGGCTCCCAAGTCTTGACTTAACTGTATTACCACCACCTGAAGTTGTATCTTTTAAGAATGGAAAAAGCAGCTTACCTCTATGAGACTGAAGATCTAAGCATGATGCGTCTGTTTTATTCAACTGTTATTAAATGTTATAATCTAAGGAACGTTGGGGCCATCTCAGGCTTGAATATGCTGTTTCTCTGGCAGCATCTGGCACAGACCTAGGGGAGGAGACAAGCAAGGCAACCATTCCCACCCAGTCTGATTAGTGCTGACGAAGGTGGGGGGTGGGTGAGAGATGGAGAAGCTCAGAGGATTAGGCTAGCGTCAAGGTGCCACACCCAGCCCAGCCTATCTTCTGGTTAGCTGCAGGCTTCCACTTGCTCTCAAAATGGCACAGAAACCTGCTCCAGGCCAGAGAGAAGAGCAACTTACTCAAGTGGATGATGCCAGGAGGCACCTAAAAGGTAAGTAGGAAGTGTAGGAAAGCTCCAGGGTCTGGCAAGGACAGGAGTAGACCTTCCAAACACGGGGAAAGGCTTTCAGCAGTTCCTCTTCCTGCAGTATCAATGACCAGGGCACAGACAGCCCACAATCACTTTCGAATACAGGGTAGAAATGGGCAGAAGGTAAGCTGAACAGAAGCCATGGCCAGCACTCCAGGAAATGGCTGAACTGGGACGACAGAAGCTGCTTCGCGACTCATAGAGGTCAGCTGGTACTCCCAACGAAGAACTGAGAAGGCGAATGCTGTCAGAATGGCTGAGCATTGGTGAACTCAGAGACTGGGGCTGAGTGATAACTGAAGACCAGAGGGCTGCTCACTGCATACGAACTTGGTCTCCAGGTAGCCCCACATCCATTCCAGTACACTGCCGCTTTCCACTTAACAGCACAGAGCCTCCCTAGGGCATGCCCAAACCCACATCGGGAAGCACTTTCTCTGCAGTAGCCATGTATAGAGGGCTCAACTCTCCTGTACCAAAGGCACAGAACTAGAAGTAGAGGGAGCAGCCCTGACCTTATACTCACTCCCCACTCTGCAGCACCTAAATCCCAGACTCCTACAGTAAACGTCAATACAAGAAAACCAAGCACACCACCACTTACTGGAGACTTCACCATGTTTGCCCCGAGGACACCGCCCACACATCTTCAGCACACATGACCCTCTTGCAGGTGACGAGAAGCCAGCATGTGATCAGCTCGTTCAACACTGTTTACAGCATGTCCAGGAAACCAGCCAATCACCAACAGGAATCAGTCATGCAGTGAACGCACTGACAGCTTGACTCGCACATGCTGAGGTTACTGCCTTTGGAAAGACAAGAACGGAACCCAGTTCAATCCCCAGTACCGCCAAAAAAAAAAACAAACAAACAAACAAACAAGAATGGAGCGCCGCACATGATACAGTCCCATGGCTTTTCCTGAATTCCCAAAGACAGCCTACAATCACTCTGAACAAGGAATGGAAAAGGATACTGAAAATGCTGGCCAGACACCTGCAACATGGCCTGAGCCAAGACAGCAGGACAGAGCACAGGACCTAGCAGCTGCCACCCTTTTCTGCGTAAACTTAACCTGCCTCACCCAAGAGAAGCAAAGGGAAGATCCCCCAAGTAAGAAAGGTGACAGAACAATGTAAATCCTAAGAAAAATCACCACTTTACTCCCTAGTTTCCTGACGAGAAAATCAAGGATGTGGGCGGTTCACCCAGCTAGGATATGACAGTGAAGTGATGGGCCCTTGGGCACAGATGCGTACCATGCCAAAACCTTTCTGGCATTTCATTTAGATGTTCTGCTGACCGTACACCAGAGGAGGGAACAGAGTCCTGTAAGACCCTGGAACTCAAGTGGGCACAGCAAGAGCCAGATGCATCGAACTGGGAACCAGATGCAGCTGCCTTCACGTCTCTCCATCTACTTCCTAGATGTGGAAAATCCCCAGAGGACACACTTCTCCCCGTGAGCAACATGGTCCAGCTGCTTCCTGGCAGGATGGAGATGCCTCCATGCCCCTCTGCAGTAAACAACCTCAGGTACGCCACCTAAGTCACAAGTCAAACCCGTCCTGGGTAGTACAGGGAGATGCTAGTAGTGGTAAACACATCACAGAAATTGGCCTAATCGCCTTAGCAGTGTCCTACTGTCTCAGTTACATGGTCATTTAAAGAGAAGACTACTCAGGGACAGCTTCAGTTTCATCCTATGTACAAGCAGATTAATCTGCACTGGCCCTGAAGCCGCACACTGAATGAACCCTCTTGGAGAGGTTAAGCATGTGCCACCCCATAAAGCAGTCTTGACATGACACAGGCCAGCATAGCCCATTTGTTTTCTGGGGAACGGGGCAGTTTAGAGATTATGTTATCTATACCCTGCTCTACCTGCTTTGTTCCTAGCACCAAAAGGATAGTCCATGTGAATGTCTACCTTGGTGGGCCAGGGGATTTGCCTTGCTCCAAAGTAGGTCATAATGTGCCAAAAAGTGCTGAGGCCCATGACAGTGCAACAGCGGGCTTCTCTTCTTTCCATCTCGGGCTTCTCTTCTTTCCATCTCGCTTTTCATTTGTTTGGTAAGTGCCACACACTGAGAATCTGCAAGGCATGAGGTAGCTAAGAGGCAAGATTTAGCCACTCCCCTTCAATTCACAGTAGAGACAGAGTT